GGTTCAAGCTTACCAGTCACTACTTGGAAACCCTATACAGGCTCTATGGATTGGAACTGACTGAAGCACTTAATAACACAAGTAAATATATACACATATTTTGTATATATATATATATATATATATATATATATTTCTGTCAACATACATTGACATGAATTTTACAGATAGAATTATATAAAAAATATCATTGCCTGTATCATTCAGCAAGAAAATGGTAACCACTACTTTGTCTAGGCAATGCACAACCAATAGTCTTTCAATTAGTTTTACTTTGGAGGCCTGTGTATTACTGTGATGTTGGAAGCTATGCCACTGGTATTTCAAATACCAACAGGATCACCTTGGTGGACCGGTTTCATCTGAACTTGCAGACTAAAACAGATTAGAATGAAGGAGAGAGAGATTGCTTCCAAATGGTCTTTTAATAGTTAGTCATTGAAAACCATATGAATAGCAGGAGAATGTTGTCAGATATAGTGTTGGAAGATGACCCCCTCAGGTTGGAAGGCACTTAAAATAGGACTGGGGAGGAACTGCCTCCTCAAATTAGCACTGAACTTAATGACGTGGACAGAGTTAAAATTTCCCAACCTTTATTTGCTGAAGGAACACAACTCAAAAGGAGAAGCAGCATCTGCACATGTCCATTAATAATCAGAACATTCAGTGTACAAAGTATGGATCTAGGAGTATTGGAAGTTGTGGAAAATTAAATGAAAAACATAAAGATGGATATCCTAGGCAGTGTTGTTATTGTTAAATGCCATCGAGTTGGTTCCTACCCAGAGCGAACCTGTATAGGGTTTCCGAGAAGCAGCTGGTGAGTTTGGGCTGCCAACCTTCTTGTTCACACTGACTTTGTAGTCCAGCGCATTCACCCACAACACCACACCAGGACGTCTATCCTAGGCATTAGTGAGGTGAAATCAACTGATATTGGCCCATTTGAACAGATAAAATCAAATGGTTTGCTATGACAAGAAAGACAGATTTTAGAGGAATGGCATCACATTCATCATCAAAAAGAAACATTTCAAGATCTATCTTGAAGTACAATGCTGTCTGTGATAGAATAGTATCTGCATATCTGTAAGAAAGACCAGTTAATGCCACTCTTATTCAAATTTATACACCAATCACTCAAGCTAGTGAAATGAAACTGAAAAATTCTGCTATTTTCTTCCAGTTGAAGCTGATCAAACATGCAATCAAGATAAATTGATAATTACTGGTGTTTGGAATGTGAACATTGGAAACAAAGAGACCTTGGTGATAAAAACAGTGTAGGAGATGGCTTGCGAGAATGTTGAAGACCAATAAATTAAATGCCTTTTCATCAACATTGCTGTTGTTAAGTGCTGTCAGGTCTGTTCTGACCCATAGCGACCCTGTATAAGGCTACCTAGGAGTAGCTAGTGAGCTTGAACTGCTGACCTTACAGTTCAAACTGGCTTTGCAGTCTGGTGTATTAACCCACAGCCACACACCAGAACTCAATCAACAATATTAGAGGATACTATTCACCTGTACCTCACCAAATGCAATAAACAGGAATCAGATTGACTACGTCTGTGGAAAGAGAGGATGGAGATGCTAATACCATCAGCTGAAACAAGACCAGGTGCATGTGTGGAACATACTCTCAGTTATTCAAATACAAATTCAGGCTGAAACACAAGATAATTATAACAACTCCGCAAGAGCAAAAATAGAACCTTGAGTGTTTCCAACCTTAGTTTAGAGACCATCTCAAAAATAGATTTGCTGCATTAGACACTAGTGATGGACTACCAGAAGTGTTGTGGGATAACATCAAGAACATCATATATGAAATGCAAAAAGTCATTTAAAATACAAGCAAAAGACACAAGACCACTGTTGATGTAAGAAGAGACTCTGAAACTTTCTCTTGAGTGTAGAGATGCTAAAGTGACTGGAAGAAATGATAACGTACAAGATCTGGACAGAACATTTCAAAGGGCAGCTCCAGAAGGCAGAAATAATTTTAACTCAAGGTGCAAAGACCAGGAGTTAAAAAATCAAAACAGAAGAACACACCCAGCATTTCTTAAACTGAAATAACTGGAGCTAAAAAGGAAGCCTTTACATGACATATTGAAGGATTCTATGGGCAAAATGTTGAATGAGGCAGAAAGCATCAAAAGAACATTGGGGGAAGACACAGAATTGCTCAACGAAAAAGAAGATAGATGTTCAGTCATTTTCAAGAGATGCCATAAGATCAAGAACTGATGGAAGAAATCCAAACAGTGCTGAATGCATTAGTGTCATTAATATCACATGCAAGTGAAACTTTGCTGACTATAATGCAAAAATGGTTGCAGCAGCACATTCACAGGCAGCTGACAGAAATTCAAGCCAGATGGTTTGGCACAGTGGCAGCAACAATTTGCTCAAATGTAACAATTGGGAGAATTGTGCAGAACTAGGCAGTGTTTTGTTCTTTTGTGCACGGTATCACTATGAGTCAGAACTAACTGGATAGCACCTAGCAGTAACACCACAGACGATGTAACTCAAAAGATAAAACTATAAACTTATTTATATACTAATTGCCTAGTGAAGGAGATCAACTTGTTTAGAGAAATATTGTAGAATGCAAGGAAAGTAACGCTCAAAGTGAATACAGAGTACTTTTAGAATCTCTGCATTAAGGTTCTCTAACAAGGTACATTTGCAAAGGATTTCAATCCAAAAAGTTGAAGTAGGAGTTAGCACAAAAAGGGAGACAGAAGAGTTGTTCCACATCAAACAACACCATGTACAATGGAAAAGAGACAGAATTATCAACTTTATCATAGTTGAAAGACTTAATCTGCCTACACATTTAAATATCTCGTCAGTATTGATTATAAGTTTACCAATGTGATTTGCCAGTCCTTGAGTTAAGTGTAGCGCAGGACTGCTAACAACAAGCTTGGCAGTTCAAACCCTCCAGCTGCTCTTTGGAAACCCTTTAAAGGGTCATCATTAGTTTGAAGTGACTCAATGGCTCTTAATAACATTGTTGTTGTTGTTTGTTGTTAAGTGCCATTGAGTCAGGTCCAACCCATAGCGACTCTGTATAGGATTTCCAAGGAGCTTCTGGTAAGCTTGAACTACCGACCTTGCAAATCAAACCGACTTTGCAGTTCAACACATTAACCCACAGTGCCATACCAGGATTCCAATTTAACAATGCATCACTTTATGTTTTCATAAGGGTGAGCATGGGAGGAAGGAAGATACTATTCTTATCATATCAATACCAAGAAATGCTTTTATTTATGACATTAAAATTAGACTGCCCAGGATATTAAAATAGCCATTTTGTTTTTGGTAAGTGCCATTGAGTCAGTTCTGACTCACAGTGACCCTGCATAGGGTTTCTGAGGAGCATCTTGTGGGTCTGAACCACCAACCTTGCAGTTCAAACTGACTTTGTGATTGAGCATTTATCCTACAGTGCCAAACCAGGATTTGAGTTATCCATTTACTAAGCAATTATTGACCACAAGTTTTGTGACAGTCACTGACCCGTGTGCTAGAAATACAGCAATGGAAAGTTCATGGTTCTTGACAGCTGCAACTTGTCGTGTTATTTTACATTTAATGCACCGTCTCAAATAATGTGTTTACGCATATAATACCAATGAGGGTGTTGCGTGGTTTGCCAAAATTTATAACACATGCATTATTTCTAGAAGTACTATACATTCCAGAACAAGACTACATGAATGCATATGTGCCTGCATACAAACATGCATACAGTGTAATAAATCAGATTCTGTTAGGTGTTATGCACTCAGGATAATGCGCTGGACTGCAAGGTCAGTTTGAACCATAACGTCAGTGGTTCAAACCCACATGCCGCTTCTCGGAAGCCCTATACAGGGTCGCTGGGACTGAGAACTGACTTGATGGCACTTAACAACAATAACAAAAGACAAAAGAGGAGGAGACCTGGTGGCACAGTAGTTAAGTGCTAGACTCCTGACTGAGAGGCTGGTGATTGGTGTATATAAGCTGCTTTGTAGGAGAAAGCTGTGGTAACATGCCACCATAAAAATCTACAAACTAAGAAAGCCTTTGAGACCATTCTACTCTGTCATACAGGACTGTGTCAGTCAGAGTCAACTCAGTTGCAATGGAAAATAAAAGGCAAAAGGGGATAAGGATTGCCAGGTAGGGTTGAGTGATTTGATTTCTCTGATGCCCCTGTGCATAAAGCCATCATGAAACACCTCTCTGAGTCATGAAGAAGGTAAGAGAAAGATTTGGACAGAAGGAATGAAAAGTGCAAAGGTTTTAGGGCATGTGGAAGAGAGTATCTAAGTACAACAATGTGAAGGAAATAGTATCAGAAAGCTAGTGAAAGACCAGTTCATCTAAATAGGTTTTGTAGGTAACTTAATGACCTAAGACATAATTATATGAAAGCCTACTTTTTGTACTTTTATACTATCTTTATTATCACTCATACTAATCCAGTAGGAATGGATTGAATTTTTTATCAGGTAAATTAATTTTCTTAATGTCTTCCCCAAAGCAAGTAAAAGCAATCTATATGCATAGTGTTCATCATTTAATTTTCAAAAATAATTTTTGATTTAATATTTTATTAGAATATAATTAGCAGACATCAAATTAAAATTCATAGTTATGATGAGTATTTCTGTTTGTGTGTCTGTGAGGTGAACAGTGAAAATGGAATTGAAAATCTCTAGGAGTTCATTATTTTTGTGACATTTTGCATTTTGTAGTTTTAGTGCATATATTGATACACTATCAGAAATGTACATTCGAGCAATTAGAGTTACTGAGTGATAGATTTGAGAAAATGTATAAAGTATTGAATGTTACAAAATTGAATTAAAAATTGTGTTTGTTAAATCAGAGCTGATTGTTCATGTTTTCTTTATATATGAATAGTAATAGCTGGCACCAGACCTTTCAAGTGTCATTTTGAGATTATTGTATGTTCTTCTGTATTTTAGAATGAGGAACCCGTGTTTTCTAGAGATGGCAGCAAATTCTTTATGACAGTTCCTGTTAAACAAGGGGGCCGTGGAGAATTTCACCACATAGCTATGTTCCTAGTCCAGGTAAGTGTGAACTTCTTTCCATGGCTTGGGCATGTTGCCATCGTATTCCCAAAGATCTGATTCCCATGGTGTCTGAACCTACACTCAGTATAAGTAAAGTCAAGTCATAATCCAATTTAGTTAACTTTGGACCTAGTCTGAGACAGATGTTTTAAGAAGAGCACTGACACACACAACTACGAAATCAAGCTGTACCTTCTCATGAAACAGTCTCAGCACTTAATTGAATTTAATGAATCCCACATGCATGCAATGACTTGATGTCCACAGGTTATAGAATTTAATAAATGACAAACCTCCAGCCCCTACTTTCAAGAACCTGAGGATAATCTAAAGAGCTGTTCTTTCAATAAATGAACACTATTTTGTACAAGTATTATTTCCAAAGTTGCATCAAAGTTTCCAGTACTTAGAGCATCTTAAACGGCCATGAAAAAATCTAATGGTTGAATAAATTAAATAACACTCCCACAAGAAAAAAAAAAATTAAGTTAAAAATTTTAAGTAGATTCTGTGTGGTATTGGAGGATAAGCACTGGACTACTAGCCACTAGGTCAATGGTTCAAACTTACCAACTGCTTCCATACAGGATCACTATGAGTTAGACAGACTCAACAGCACTTCATAACAACTTATTTTTTCATGTGTTCTAAAATACATATTAGAGTCTGTGTGATGAGTTGTTTTATTTTTCCAAAATAGGAAAAAGATGATATTTTCCTCTAAATTTCAAAATAATTTTAACAATTTCCACAGGCTTATTTAAATATATTAAAAGTACACAAATTCATAATAAGCGGTTTAACTATCACAAGGATGACAAGTCCATTTGAATTTAATTTCCAGTTATAAGCATCCATGAGAAAATAGTTTTCTTTATAAACATGTAAATAAGCTTCCTGGTCTCACAGCAACATATGTGTGTGTGTAAACTGCTTTGGAATAATATTGTATTGTGTCTAAATTGATTCCTCATTAGAAAACTGCACAAACTATACAAAACTCAATTCCCAGATGACTAAAGTGTGGCACTGTAGAATAAAGCACTGGACCACAAATTCAGTTTGAACCACAAGGTTGACATTCAAATGCAGCAACCATAGCTTGCAAACCCTAAACAGGGTTGCTGTGAGTCAGAATCAACTCAACTGCACTTAACAACAACAACAACAATAAGATAAACATAAATCTGGAAAAAATTCCAAATCCAAATTAGCTGATTTTATATTCTTAGAACATTGTACTTATTATCAAACTTGCCAATCTGTATACTAAGTAAGGAGCTCTGGTAGCATAGAGCTTATGAGTCAGACTGCTAACCTCAAGGTCAGCAGTTCGAAACTACCAGTTCAACAAGAAAAAGATGAGGTTTTCTGCTCCCGTAAAGATTTATAGCCTCAGAAACCTTATACAGGATCACAATGAGTTGGAACCATCTCCACAGCACACCACCACCACCACCGCTACCATACATAAATATGTTTTGGGCTACTAAGTGCTTTGAAATCTCAAAATCTTGTTTCAACAATTTATCATTTAAGACTTGTAAAAGGTCTGTGTTCTTAACTGTATTTTTAACCATAACTTATATAAATAATTTAGAACATATGTAACTTCTATAGTATAGTCTGATTTTCATAGTATATCATTAAGGTAAAAAAAAAAAAAAGATTATACATTAATGTATAATTATTTTCATGTTTTGTTATAACTAAACGTGTATTTTTGTATTACATAAAATAGTAAATAATTTGATACCAAGCTATTACAAGAAATATATTAGGAAGATGGGATTAAGGAAAATATTTCATTTTGTATGAGAACTAGAAGAAGTTTTAGTAGTGAATTGCTTTATCTGATTAACTTTTGCTAGCTAGGTCAGCACTTTGAAATTACCAGCTGTTCCATGGGGAAAAGATGAGGCTTTCTGCTCCCATACAGATTTACAGCCTCAGAAACTCTGCACAGGGTCACTATGAGTCAGAACCAACTCCATGACACATAACCACCACCACCACCTAAGTATAAAATTTACTGTCATAAATATTGATGCAGTATTCTGACCCGGAATATAAAACATGTATTCTACATGTTGTAACTGCATTTTGTTGAATTTTCAGATCCCAAAATTTTATACTCACAAAGCTGTATATAAACGCTGGAAATCAAGATTATATCCATTGTATTGTTGTTGTTAAGTGCTATGGAGTCAGTTGAGACCCACAGCGACCCTGTGTACGGTTTCCAAGGAGTGACTGACTGGCGAGCTTGAAGCACTGACCTTCCAATTCAAATGACTTTGTCTAGATATTTATAATGTATAGGGAATGAAAGGGAAAATATCCATTCCAACTTTGTATAGCCAATTACAAGTAGACAATCTCTTTTAAAATTAGGAAGGAAAATGGTATCATTTAAAAAAGATAGGTTTGGGGGTTCATGCTGGGATGTGAGAATTGAGACATTAATACATGTAACAGTTTTTTAAATAAACTTTGGAAAGAAATATCTTTGGTGCCCTAATCAAACCAGACTGATGTACAGTCTAATTTATTCTTTCTTAAATGATCAGAAGAGCAACTTCATAGAGCAGATATAGGATAATCACTGGACTGCAAACCACAAGGTCAGCAGTTAAATCCACCAGCGGCTCCTCAGGAGAAAAATGAGGTTGACTTTTCCCATAAAGATTTTCAATCTCAGAAACTCTACATAGTATTCTATGAGTAAGAGTGGCCTTAATGGCTGTGGGTTTGGGCTTATGTGGATATTATAAAAAGCTTTCAATGAAGTAGAAAACGTGTTGATCTTTTGTGGTTTGCCTCACTGAGAAGTGAATAGACCTGCCCAGTTATTTATGCAAATTTGACAATATAGCTAAAATCAATCTCTTTGGTTAATGAGTCAGTGCTTAGGTAAATGCAGTTAAACCTAACGGAGCTCTGGTAGCATAGTGGTTATGAATTAGGCTGCTAATCTCATGGTCAGCAGTTTGAAACTACCAGCTGTTACACGGGAGAAAGATGAGGCTTTCTGTTCCAGTAAAGATTCACAGCCTTGGAAACCCTGTACAGGGTCGCTATGAGTCGGAATCAACTCCATGGCACATAATAACAACACATATACACATGCACACAACTTTAGCAAATAATTTGGATCTTCTTGACTCAATAATAATGGCTAATATAAAAATGAATTATTTTATTAATCTTTTATGATTGCTATATTCATATATGTAGTATGGAACATGTAGAAAATTTTTAACTGAATAATGAAATATAAAAAAATTCCTATAATATATACGTACATATGTTGCTATTAAATGCTGTAGAGTCAGTTCCGACCCATAGCAACCTTGTATAGGGTTTCCGAGGAGCAACTGTTTAAGCTTCAACTGGTGATGTTGTATCGCCGACCTTGTGGTCCAAACTGACATTGCAGTCCAGCAAATTAACCCACAGCACTACAACAGGATTCCAAATATATATATATATATATTGTGTGTGTGTTTGTATGGTGTGTGTTTGTAATTACTTTTCACAGTGAAAACATAGCATTTTCTTCTACAGATTGGAATCAGTGTAAAAATACACTCATTCATGTAAACATATACATCCACACACAGCCATATACATTTATATGTAATATTTGAGGAAAATTTAGGATAAAATTTTCACATCATTTATTAGCAATCTTAATATTTAAAAACAATATTTTCTTCTACAGATTAGATTCAAAGTATAAAAATACATACATACACACATTGTTATTGTTAAGTGCCGTTGAATCGATTCCGACCCATAGTGACCCTGTATAGGGTTTCCAGGGAGTGGCTGGTGAGCTTGAACCACCGTCCTTGCAGTTCAAACGACTTTGCAGTCTGATGCATTAGCCCACAGCACCACACCAGGACTCCACATATACATATATGCACATACACACATATATATGTGAGTATATATATATTGTTCTTGGAGTCAGTTGAACTGGAGTCCGTTCCGACTCATAGCGACCCTGCATGGGGTTTCCAAGACTGTAAATCTTTACCGGAGCAGAAAGCCTCATCTTTCGCCTGCAAAACAACTGGTAGTTTAGAACTGCTGACCGTGAGATTAGCAGCCTGATTGGTAACCACTACGCTATCAGAGCTCCTTAGATAGAGAGACAGAGAGATAGAGAGATAAATCGAGCGAGAGAGATAACCTTGGGGAATATTTATACATCATTTATTTGCAATCTTATTGTTTAACATTATTTTTAAACATCATTTATTTGAAATCTTAATGTTTAACATTATCTTTAAATATGATTTCAATAGCTGTTTAGCATTCCATCAAGTAGATATACTATTGCAAATTTAAGTGATACAATTTTATTTCTACCATTCAAAAATTATATAATTTTGAGATAAAAATGATTATAAAGAAATATTAGTTTGATGATCATTTCCAAAAAAATCAATTATTATAGATATCTAAATATACTTCAGGTGTAGAACTCTAGAATCAATATTGAACTGTGAACCTCAAGGTGGGTGGTTCAA